CCTAGCCCACGGATCATCGTCTCCAGCGGTAAAGCTTTTCGACGTGCAGAGCTAACACATCAAAAACTTCCCATAAAAAGGCCATGCGCCATCGGCCTCAAGCATTTGTCCTTTGGGCTCGACAGTCACGCAACCTGATCTCTAAGACCATCACTAACTCAGATCCTTTTTCAGGTTCTTGAAGAAGAAATATCCTTCCACTGCGTGAGCAGCCGGGAAGTGACAATCGCCCTCATACCTCTGTCAGCACCCGAGACCATATTGTTGACGATCGAACCCTTTCTTCACCTCAATATTTATTCCATCTCCATGGCTAACCCTTATTTATCTTTGTCGCCACGCGCCACCAATGCTAATTATTTAACTTCACGAACTGTAATTCCTGGCCTTCCGAAACCAGGCTATAAACTACATGTTGAAGCTTTTAATGTTCGAACCGTGTATCAGGTAGGAAAACAGGCTTCTTTTGCTAGGACTCTAGAATCTGGTGCCATCGATGCATGTTGTGTCTCCAAAACGCACATACAGGATCCAAGTGCGGTCATTCATTTGACCTCACTTTGTCAATATAAAGAACTGGCATGATATAGCCTTCGAGCACCTGGAGACCTCACTGCTACTTCGCGCAGCCTCTCTGGTGTGGGTATAGCATTAAGTTCTGAAGCAGAACTTGCTCTGTTAGACTGGATCTCAATAGACAGTCACTTGTGCACTTTTTGGCTAAAAGGGACAGTAAGAACTCGAAGTGATAGTTACCCACGCTGTCGTCTTTTCATTGTCTGTGTCTGCACCTTTACTGATTGCATCTCGAACGAAGTTGAAGGCGAATTTCGCAGGAAGCTATCCAACCTCCAAAAACGTGAGAGCTCTGATGTAGTAATGGTGGCAGGTGATTTCAATGCTAAAGTAGGTAAATAAAACCACTTGAACGGACCTTACGGTGTTGCAGATCGGCGAACAGATAATGGCAACCGTCTGTTCCAACTATGCTCAGATAATCGTCTATTTCTGATAGTGGGGTTAGACAGGGTTGCACAATCTCACCATTCCTCTCCAACCTTGCCATCGATGAAGTTCTGGAAACAGCTCTGATGGATGTAGGTAATGGTGTGGATCTGTTGCCCGTAGAAAGACTTCTCGACCTTGAGTGTAAGCTTGATATTGTTATATTGTGAAATAATACCCAAGCCATGTAATCCGTACTTAATCAGTAGGCAATTAGTATCCGTAGGTATGGTATATGCTTCATACTTTCGAGGTGCAAAGTACTTTTACAAGACTGGCAGGACCCTGATTCCGCACTCACCCTGGGTAGTGAGTAGTCAAGAAGTTCATGTACCTGGGTAACTGCATGAGTGCTGGTGTCGGCATGAGTGGTGAGATCAATGCACGTATAGTGAAAGCCACAGCGGCTTATGCCAATCTGGACCATCTTTGGCGCCTTCGTGATGTTGTTGTGGTATGAAAGAAAGTTGTACGGGACTGGCTTCTGTCGGTCCTTCACGACTCTCTGGTTGGGGTCCTAGAGATAGTATAATACAATGGCTTAAGACGTTATCAGATATGGCTCAATAAAAGCCAGTGGCAATCCTGCTGTAACGTTATTTTACTTCATAAAAAGTAGAAGTAAATTCTTTAACTGGGAGATTTCTTTCTGCTTGTAACTTTGCTGACTGAACTGATTCTCCCATTATCATTTCACTATCATACACTAATTTCTGTTCGTTAGTGTTCCCCTTTTTCTTATACACACCTTACATTCTCTATCTCTTCATATTCTGATTGTTATTGTGCGGCGCTTATGTATCTGGTGTCACTGTACCAGTATTTATGTGTTCAAATAAATAAATATTTCTGGCAAATACCAACATTACACATAAGGCGAAACATCATCTGACGTGGCGATCTCCATAATCAACCCGTCGATTAACTCAAACTGATCACATCTTCACTAGCCATCGTTGGAGAGGCTCGATTGTAGACTGTTACTCATTCTGGAACACGTGGTCAGACTCGGATCATGCTCTAGCTCGAGTACTATTTGTCGGCATCTTACTGGATATCAAACAGCCACAGATAGAAAATCTTTTAGAGTTCAACTTAACGATGGAAAAGGATGTATTTTAGGAACAACTAAAGAAAGAGCTCGTCAACCGTGAAAATGATATTTACTCCGAAATAGCTCCGTATGATATCCAAAAGGCTATAAAAACAGCAGTGATATCTGCCAGCAACTTAAACCAAAAGGTTAGGAAAAATCAGTGGATTTCAGTGGCGTATACAGAACCGTTAAATGCTCGAAAACTCATTCTGTCTTACTCTGAGCATGATCAGGAGCGAAGGCAGCTAAAACGTAAGCTGATAAAATGCCTACGCAATGATCGTGAGCAGTAGTGGTTAGCGAAAGCAGAAGAGATGAAGAACACAGCAGCAGTAGGTAACAGTAAACAACTGTCCAGACTTATCAAAGAAACGGGTATTAAAAATCCGGCTGTTAGTGAAACTATCTCGGAAAAAGGAGGGACCATTTTTCACTCTCAATCAACCGATGGGCAGAATACTTTAGGGAACAGTTCAACTGGGTTTCAGCTATACTTCAGTTACCCACTATCTCCAAGCAACTTGAATGGCAAACTATATTCATTGACCTAAAGGTGGCGTTCGACGCTGTTGATCATGAGGTTCTGCGGCAGTGTCTGGTATTGAAAGGTGTACCCAAGAAGTACATTAACCTTGTGCAGACACCCTACTCAAACACTAATGGTCGAACCAGAGCTTAATGGCGAACTGCCATCGGAATTGGTTACTTCAAGGTTATCCTCTTTATTTTTATTTAACGCTGTCATAGACATGCATTCAGAGATCACGCTTTCATCGTTTGACTTTCCAGGGCTTGATCTTCTACCACAAGATTTAATTTTTGACTTGGGATGTGCAGATGATATAGTTCTGTTTTGTTAAGACGCTGAAAAAAAATGCAAATCTTAAACAAAAATCCAAGCGTGATTGCGTGCGTCTCTCTCCAAATATAAAATGTCACTTCGGGATTGGTTTACACCATCGCCTGAATTAGTGATAGGGAGTGAAGTAGTTGAACACTTCACTGATGTCGGTGGTTTGATCGGTCCGGTGTCTGACGAGATCTCAGCATGGATTCAGTAGGCTTCATTGGCCCCCAAATGCCCTGGTACGACCGAGAGTGGGGAGAGTTTGCTCTCCCTCTCGAAATGCTCTCACACGGCCACGCGTATATAGCCTCTGCCAGGGAAGTCCTACTCACTGCCTTCTCGCGGCGGTGTTGTTTACGAAATTGAGAGGACGAAAAGCCAATGTCCAGCGCTTTAACCGGGTTGGTGGACATGGAGACCCCACCTAGGGAGTTGGAAAACCCTGATTCCAAACCAATGGTGCACCTGAACTCTAGGATCCTGAAGGGGCAAATGGCGTATAAACCAATGGTTGGTCACCGGCTACCATAGGACTGCATCTCCTTATGTTGCTCCACTACCTTGTGGATCAGACCTTCATCGTGTGCAGAACCTGATGGGATGAGTTTACGAGAATCAGTGCAAAAGATCTTGAAGAAATCCATTGGTTTTTTGTAACCCTGTGGTCTAAATCACTAATAGATCTCACTGCTGTTTCCGCAGCTGCTTGTATGTCTTTCCAAGCAACATCTGGGTCAGCCTCGTCTTCAGAACTACCTAAGTGTGAACTCAGTTGTTCCTGGAACCTATTTTTGGTTCTCTCGTTACTCAATTAAGTTCTAGTGGGTCTTTTTAATGTGGCTTTTTTGCGTCCGGTGAGGCGCAAGCAGATGCGTGTCCGTATTAGGGCATGGTCGGAGTCCAAGCAGGTACTCCAGAATGAGCGACAATCTTCTACAGACCCTCTCCAACGATGACTGACGGCGATATGGTCTATTTGAGTCCATCGTTGGTTTGGTGTTGGGGGTCGCCATGTTAGACGATGTCTCTCCTTATGCTTAAAATTTGTGTTTGCTAAAAATAAGCGATTGTCTGAGCACAGTTGCTTCAGACGATCACCATTATCTGTTCGCTGTGCCGGGATGCTAAAATACCCGCCTAAATGCCTTTCTGTTTGGTTTAAACTACCTATCTGAGCATTAAAGTCACCCCCTACGAGTACTATGTCTGAGCGTTTAGCTTTCTGAAGAAGTTCGGACAGCTTTCTGTAAAATTCTTCTTTCACATCATCCGAGCTGCAGTCAGTGGCAGAAACGACAAAAAGGCAACGATGTGTGTTCCTATCCTTCCGAGTTCTTACGGAGCCGTTTAGCCGAACAACACATAGACGACTGTTGACGGGGATCCACTCTAGCAGTGCTTGTTCCGCCCTCATGCTTAGTGCTATGCCTACACCTGCCAGTCCACGAGAACTGGCCATCGGGTCACCAGATACACGTAGGGTGTATCTCGTTGGCTCTCCGTTTTGCCGATGTGATGTCAAGTGAATGTGTAGAGGACTTGTAACGGTCACTTGCAGCACTCCAATTAGTGTTGGGTTCCATGGAAAACACTTGAGATCTGTTCTTGCCTTTTATCGGCGAACTACGGAAAAATTCTTGTCCCGCTTATACTGAGATCCAGCAATTTGCAAATTTTCCGCCTTTCATATGCGCCACCTTACTAGGTGCTTCACAGTAGTGCACTGATTTCCCCATCATCAAACCGCACCATCCATCCATAAGAACTATAGGCTACACATTGGTATTAAAAAAGCACCCACCAGCCTTGTAATTTCTAATATTTACACGAAAAGTGTGTTCGCTTGGTTTTCACATGCGTCATTGTTAAACCAGGTGAACAAGTTGAAGACCTCAGGTAAAAGACGAGTCTTGTTAGATTGCAACCCCCTTAATCCTGAGTGACTTGTGCAAGTGCACTAACTCTGGGTTCAGACTTGCATGCAAAAACACTTAACATCTACAGCTTCTAAGAGTTGCTGAAGTTTTCAGTATGTTTGTCTATTTCCGATAGATTTGATGGTAACAAAGTGCTGCAGTTTCGAACCATAGCTGCCTTATATCCCACAGCTCTCAGGAAGTAAAACAGACGACTGCTGGAAATGGGTACCCTTTTCTCCAAACGTCAGAGTGTAGAATTTACCTTGATCCCGTCAGAAGAAATAAGCGGCCCATTGGGCCTAGGTAAGTCGAAAATAAAATTCATACACAAGATTACATTGTTTTTTGTGCGACTTATCATTGGTGCGTAACAAGAGTGGGTATATCCGATTTTGAAACTAAGATGAGATGCATGATTCAAAACGAGGAAATCCTTAATGGTTAATATGAAGTCAACCAGGGCAACACAATATTTAAGACCTAAAAAACATGTATTGAAGCATAAGAACCGATCTTCGACCGCATCACTCTTCTACCGAAACACTCATTTTCATCCATATTTCCGATCTACAGTCGGTAAATTCAAGGTTCGGCTGTTCTGGTTTTATTCATCTCTAACGAAACAAATCCACTCGATTAAATTATCCCTCCAACTGAGTTGCCACCATTACTTATTAGTCTAAGTTTAACTCCAACTTTGTTCATCAGGCAGTCACACTATACATTAGCGATTACTTAACGACACCATCGATAAGATATTTCCGACACATTCACTTTCGACCTTTCCTAATGATTCCAGTGGTAGATGCAAAAGGTATACCTGTCTTAAATTTCGTCTCGCTGAATTGAATTCTGTTCTAATAATTTGTATCAAGTATCACTGTATTTTAGTTGCAATTTCGAATGTTAAGCTAGTTGCTGAATTTTTGACACTTCAACCCTTTTTCAGGTGACCCTGAAAGTAAAGAAATCACGAAGGTTGAAGAGGAGAGCATTATACCGGCGCTTATGCAAGACAGATTGAGAACGAAACAATGCGCGAAGCTTTGGGACGGTAAGTATTATTCACTACTGAACATTCCATGTTTTCAGAATGGTCAAACTGTACACAAAAATACTACTGGGCAGCAATGTACATTTGCAAGACGGACTTTCATAAGGCTTTAGAGTGCAACAAAAGATAGTAAGAAAATTTTTTAAAAAATTCATGATTTTAGCCTACAAGACCCTCAGTTTTTCGAAGAAATGAAGAATTTATATCTGAAAATGCGTTCGAACTACAGGAGGACGGGGTTGGAACAACGCGTTGTACGAACCGACAAAACATTCTAGTCTTAAATAGAAGATACAAACGTCATCACATTGGTCCTCTTTTGAAGCTGAAAGGCAACCAGGTTATTGATAGAATAAAAGCTTTGTATATTGAGGGGTTTATAACGAAAGTAAACACCTTGTAACCAAATATTAATACGAATTAGTATAGTCAGGAGGTTAAAAACAAGTAGTGCAACCTTCGGAGTGCATGTTGGTTTTTAAATTTTTTGTACTTCCAAGTGATGCACTCCGAATAATCGATTTATTCCGTCGTCGCTGCAGATGTCTGTAGACAGACACCCTTGAGAAACTATATGTTCGTTGATGATCATTGATACGCGGCCCAAAGTTAAGCCGGATGAGATCCCTAAAACTGCGAGAGCGGTGCACCACTGCTCGCACAGCTGACTGCGTTTTGAGAGACACCAATATTTTCTAAATCGGTACCATTAACCAGACCAGAATCGAAATTTATGTTGGTGTGATCTTCGCTTCCGGTAGCGAACAAATTTGACCCCCTTTGTGAATTTACTTTGCTCGCAGGTACAGTTGCACCTTGAAATGTAGAATCTTGAGAAAGAAGCAAGTTGTCCATTTGACTGGCACCCTGACCAAGACGAAAGTCCAACGAAGTGCTCTCCTAGAAACATAAATTAGAGTTTTGATATTCGACTTTAAATAGAAAGCACCAATGAAATAACTTATATAATTGTTTTAAGGCTTTTATGTTTCATCTGTCGGTGATTAGTCAGTGTAATAAGTGAATTTGTAATAAACTAGCATCAATAAGCGAATATTAAAAATTTTATCTGCATATGGACAATAAATACCCCTAAGGAAACCGAGAAACGGACATGGATTGATAGTGAACCGATACAAAACATTAAAGGCGCAAATGCACTGCGCAAAAGCGTTAGCAAATCCGGATACCTAAGATATTCTCTCAACAAAGAATTACGAAGGTTTGCATTGGGGTTAAGGAAATTACCCATCAAAAATAACCTACTAACTTGTCCTTTAAAAGAACAGGAAATCAAAGCTAGGAGAAATACATAACTATTCACAAAGATCTAGGACACAAATATCCTTATGACTAACAACCATGTATATCGGTAAAACCTAGTGTGAGTATCAAAGATTAAACTACCTGAGATAAACCGGAAAGTCCTGAATTACGCGACTGACTACTGAATACACCCATGTTACTAAGACCAGATGTGCCTTGAGTTCCAGAAAATTCTGACAAACCAGGCTGAGAAAGTAGACCAGCACCTGAGTTGGAAGTATTAGTATTACCGCGTTCCACAGAAATGTTGGCCAGACTACTGGGCCCATCAATTTGACGTGACTTCGAAGCGCCAACCGAAGCATTTTGTGAACTAGCTTGTACATTTCGACGTGCATTTCCAAGATACCGAGGAGCTGCAGAACCAACCACATTATTTCCAGGAAGAGGACCGCCGGGTGCTCTTGTACTTCCCGTATTTAGTTGTGAGTAGTTGGGATGCACGTTTAGTGGACCCAAAGCTTGCATTGATCTACCAAGTGGCGCAGCTGCCCCAAGGTTGGTGCCATATTTTCCATTGCCAAAATGACCAGAAGAGGCAAACGGATTTGCTGCGTTGGTAGGATTCGATATTCGACCAGCAGGCATCAACATGCTGAGTGGCATAGGAAGATCTAGATAAAACGAGTGATAAAAGAGGTCAACAGTAGAATGAGGTAGTGACAAACTTTGTCAGGAACTATCTTATAAGAACACTTTGATGTCACCCTTACAAAGAGCGAGTTTTCTAGACTTTAACGCTTGCAACTAAACTTTTCAAATTTTAACCTCTTCTGTGTAGTGCCAACAATTCAACGAGTATATGAACGATAAACATGCTCTTAATTATGCATGACCTCGTATATACGAGTTTACATCACGCTGTCGTTGAGAGAGCATATATTTCTTGGAAAACTGGAAATATAAGCTAGGTCATCATCAAAAAATAATGTGAAATATCAAGTGAATTTCAAAGGATATGAAGAAATTATAACAGTCAGACGACTATTGGATTAGTGTTTTACTAATAAAAATTATGAAACAGCCTACATATATTTAATATCTAAAGATTGTTAAGTGTAAACCTATATGAAGAACAGGTCTCGATGGCCATATCAAGCTTGTTGAAATGCTTCTTGAGTACCATCACCACCACTAGAATCCTCACAATAAACTTCAGAAAATCACATGAAACAGTTATGAATACAGAGGTCTCCACAGAAAACTTTGCACTTTACTGGTTGCCTTCATATCAGTAAAATCGTCGAAAAATATTTCACTCGAACTTCTATTTGCGATCGACAGGAAACTGAGGTGATGTATATATATTACTCAATGAATTACTTACTTGAACTAGCGTTGGCTTCTGCATATTGTCGATTTGGTCCTATATACCCAACCTGGTCGAATAATGACTGGTTTAATAGTTGATGCATACTATGAGAACTACCATTTGTTTGACTAGAATACGGTTGACTTGATTGATGTTGGGCAGCTGCAGCAGCCGCAACAGCATAAGCTGCAGCATGGCTTGCTCCAGGTTGGTTGAGTGCTGACGACCCATGTAATCCTAAGGTTGAGACATTCGGGCGCGTATTTGAACCAGATCCTCCAAAGTAAGCCGCAGCAGCCGCTGCCGCCATAGCTGCTACTAAGGCTGTTGGTCCATTAGGATTATCAAAACATGGTTGAGACGGATTTGAAACGTGAGAAAGATAATTAAATTGATTTCCGGGGTGTGTATTCAATTGCCCATTTAACTGACTGCTATTTAATAATGCGGGATTCGCGGATAGCTGTGCTAGATAATGCCCACCAGGTTTGAAAGTGTACGGAACTTTGGGTCTAGGAAACTGTAACATGTATTCACCTAGATTGTTTAAGGGTCCCTCCACGAGTAAATGCTGATCACGATAAAAGTGTAGCAGCTGGTTCCAAAGTGGTTGCTGAAAAGTAAAATATTCATGTCAGAATGAAAGACAAGGATTCATACGAAGTTAACTTTCACTGCAAATGAATTCTACAATACAGTGAACGTTACAACCATACAGTTTAGTGAATCACATATTCGTACGTTAAATTGCCTGCAGAATTTCAGACTTATGTACAAATGATTTAAAGTTGATGTGCAAAATTTGTAGGATTTGTGTATTTTCTTAAAAAATAAATCCTGCAAAGTATATTATCCACTAGGACAATGAATGGTCTAGTCTAAAACACCAATTATCAAGATAAATTCAATATACTCATGATACACTGCAAAAAATAAAAGCATTACCTTGCACAAAGCCTTTGGATTTCCAACTACTATTAATCCGTAACGAGCACGAGTGAGAGCAACATTCAAACGGCGTGGATCATTGAGAAAACCAATACCTTGATTTTCATTTGCTCGGACACAGGACAAGATGATATAATCCTTTTCTCGCCCCTGGAAGGCATCCACGCTAGCGATTTCGATTTCTTGGTACAATTTGGCATTTAAGGAACCAGAATAATGAAGATAATGTGCTAAGTATGCACGTTGTCCCTCATAAGGTGTGATTACTCCGATAGTATTCGGATGAACCCCTATTTTCAGCATCCTGTAAAACAAATAAGATTAGAAAAACAAATTGCAGAGTTTATACTTGAAACATGTGCTAGTGGCTAGCAAGTTTAAATTAATTTAAAGTGGAGGTCAAATCGAATTGAAGAACACCAAAATATACTAAGTAACTGATTGTAACACCGATAAGCGACATCAAACTTTAGTTAATGGGAACTGTGCCAACAGTAAAATGAAAGCTAAACAAATATTTGACAGTATTTTATGCCATTTTAATTCAGTGATACTGAATTATGTTTAAAATGCTTTATAAATACAAAGGACAATGGCGAATTCTAAACTAAAATTACGAAAAACTCTATGCAAACCAGATTGATCAATGACCAACTCTTAGGCATAGTTATACAACTAAGTTTTCTACAATGAGGGTGCCAAGAGGTGAACATTTAAAAGTATAGACCCTGAGAAGCTATTTTCTAGTGATTTTGTAACATGTATTCATTCATCAAACAATTGATTTCTGTATGATCCTAAATCTAAACTTCTGTTCGATATTATTAACCATGACAATAAATTTGCCAGCCGTAAGTTTCAGCAATCTAGCTACTGACATACCACTCGATTGCTTGCCACAAATACTTTAGTTTTATGCATACTATTCATATTAATATTCACGGCGTGCTTTATTATTATTGTATTTCAAGTAAGTAAACATATCATTTAACGTCTGAATAGTATGAAATAGTGCGAGATACTTGTATGATCTTCCTGATCGGTAGTTTGAGGAACGAATCTTTATGTCGTATGGGTTATCAATCGTTTTAGAATACATAGTGAACAGTATTAGCTGATTCAACGGGCATGAAAATCCACAACTAGTTCACAGCAAAAGCAGGTTCAGTTCACTGCGAAAAACAGGTTATTTTGGCCTAAATCGGTAACCAGTGGTTACTGACGTTCTACTCACTGTTTTTTCGTGGTGGGGATGTTGTTTACGAAATTGAGAGGACGAAAACGAATTTCCGGCGCTTTAACCGGGTTGGTGGACACGGAGACTCCACTTAGGGGAGTTGGAAAACCCTGATTCCAAACCATTGGTGCACATGGGCTCCAGTATCCTGGAGGAACAAATGGCGTATGAACCAATGGTTGGTCACTGGCTACCATGGGACTGCATCTCCTTGCGTTGCTCCACTACCTAGTGGATCAGACCTTCAGGTCGAAGGCTCCGGGTGTGGCCCCTGGGCAGTATCACAGCCCACACAAGTAAAATGAAATGACAATAAACGTTCTTAATACAACAAAATAAGTTAAATTTATAGGGAACAATTTATGTGTCTCATAGAAAATAACAAAGTACAAATTAAAAATCTTCAAGTTAACTCACTTTGTGACGATTTTTTCAACTGTTGCTGCCTCTGTTCGATTTAGGTATGATACACCATTACCGGATATTTCTTCCTGTCCAGATGTGCAGTAGAAAAACATAGGCCTGTCTGGATTTGGCCATGGAAAATCGATCTTTTTGCAACGATCCTCTGCTGTCACTCCATTTTGCAAACTACCTTCGTAAAAAACATTACTTGGGAAGGCTGAAAGAGCGGGGTGCATACGATACTGGACCTTAACAATAGAAGTATCAAACAATCAGATTGGAATATGCTCTTTACGATATTACTTGGATGTCAAGTAGAAATTAATTGAAACAATGAGCTATAGGATCTGTATTTTATATTCTGTATTCCAATTTATAATATATTATTACAAGCAAACGCACGATAACAGAACTTAGCAGTCGAATGTATTTTCTCTCAGTTAGGCTTTTGCGTCAGAGCTAGTGATGCCTGACTTTCTAAAACAAAATAAACGGGACGAAACCCAAGTATCTAATCTAACTGCTTACACTTTAGTACATTATATGCTAAATGTTTGCGGATGTCGAGACCTATTGAGTGGAAAAGAATGCTAGATATATTCATTGGCTTCAGTCAGTCAGTCAGCTACAACGTGGGACCAAGCACATATGTGCATCGGTCCAAGTTGCCATACCTCGTTAGCACAGCAAGATGAACACCGGATTCATAGCAGTGGTTATGTCAAAGGTGGTAATATATAAGAGAAAGATTGCATATAGAGATATAATACAAGAAGAAGGAATTGGTTCGTAGAAAGAAAGATATGAAGCGATTTTAATCTCATAGTTTAAGGGAAGACAGGGAGTGTATACACCGACGCCATTGTGATCGATTCTGAGCCATGTCACCAAGAGTCTCCAACCATTCGTTACGATAGTCACTCAAACCCCAACCAAGTAGTCTGCATCTACCAACATGGCTCAGACTACAAGTTAATGACTTCAAGCACTGATGCCACGTTTTGGTTTGGCCGCCCCTAACTTTCTTCCAACCATCTCCAATACCGGATAGCATTGCACGCCGTGGTAATCGGTGTTCAGGCATACGTAACACGTGGCCCAACCATCTCAGTCGATGAAGATTCATAACCTCATCAACTGATTTACCATCATTCCCTAATACCCTGTGTCTAACCTCACTATTACTTACCCGGTGATCCCAGCAGACGCCAGCAATATTTCTAAGGCATCTGTGGTCAAATACTAATAGATTACGAGTGTCTTCTACTCTTAATGGCCATGTTTCGCTGCCGTAAATTAAAACAGAACGGACTGCCGCGCAGTATACTCGTCCTTTTATTGATAGACGGATATCTCGCCTTCGCCACAGGTGACGTAAGTTGGCAAAAGCCAAACGAGCTTTTCGAATCCGTGCTGAGATTTCGTCCGATACCAACCCATTAGGGCTGATCAGACTTCCAAGATAAGTGAAGTTGTCAACGCGTTCGACTACTTCACTCCCTATCCTTAGTTCAGGTGTTGACGCAGACCAGTCCTGAAGCAACAACTTGCATTTAGAGGGAGAGAAGCGCATTCCAAACATCCTGGCATTGTTGCTCAGTGCTACCAGAAGACTCTGCATTTTGTCAGCGTCTTCACCAAACAGGACTATGTCATCTGCGTATTCTAAGTCGATAAGTGGACCTCCTGGATGGAGATCAATACCCGAGAACTCAGTCGACGAGAAAGTTATTTCCATCAATAGGTCTATGATGAAGTTAAACAAAAATGGGGAAAGTGGACAGCCTTGACGGACACCACTTGAGGTTGCAAAAGTAGATGACAGTTCGCCATAAGCCCTGACTCGACTAGTAGTGTTCGAGTAAAGAGCCTTTACAAGGTTTATGTACTTCTGGGGTACGCCTTTCAATGACAGACACTGCCACAGAATCTCGCGGTCTATAGAGTCAAATGCTGCTTTTAAGTCGAGAAAGACCACCATTGTCGGACGCCGATAAGTATGCCTGTGTTCTAGAACCTGACGAATGGTGAATATGTGGTCGATGCAGCCACGACCAGGTCTGAAGCCAGCTTGGTTCTCTCGTGTTTGTAGTTCACGAGTCTTAGTTAGGCGTCTGATAATTATCGAGGCTAGTATTTTAGATACTATATTTGTTAAACTAATCCCTCTGTGGTTGTCACAGGATGATTTTGACCCTTTCTTATATATTGGGACGATAAGTGATTGTGACCAGTCAGATGGGATAACGTCTAACTCCCAGATCTTAGCTAAAATATTAGTCAACCTAATCGCTAAAATTGGACCACCATCCTTAAAGACTGCTGGAGCCAATCCATCTGGACCAGCTGCCCTTCCTCGTTTCAGATTAACTATAGCCTTTTGAACTTCAGCGAGAGTTGGGGGACCTACTTCAATGTTCCATTCACATTGTCTGGGTTAGTTGAATTAAATCGTGATAACCAAAACAGGTCTGTAAACCTACGGAATCCTTAAGCTCATCAATCTCAGTTCCAGCGACAACATTAAACACACTGCCTTTCGAAACGAGCGAGGACTTCGGATGATTACTGTAACATTACAGGTGTTTTAAATCGTCCAACTACTTTATTTATAAAGCGCCTGCAATACAATTAGATATCAGCAGCTAAGGAAACTCAAATACAATACAGAATCGATACAGATTACCATCTTAAAAGTAATAGTGCGGTTAGACACAGGGTATTAGGGAATGATGGAAAAGCAGCTGATGAGGTTGTGAATCTTTATCGACTGAGATGGTTGAGCCACGTGTTACGTATGCCTGAACACCGATTACCACGGCGTGCAATGCCATCCGGTATTGGAGATGGTTGGAAGAAAGTTAGGGGCGGCCAAACCAAAACGTGACATCAGTGCTTGAAATCACTAACTTCTAGTCTGAGCCATGTTGGTAGATGCAGACTACTTGGTTGGGGTCCACGTGACTTTCGTAACTAATGATTGTAGACTATGTGTGACATGGCTCAGAATCGATCACAATGGCGTAGGTGCATACACTCCCTGTCTTCCCTTAAACTATGAGATTAAAATCGCTTCATATCTTTCTTTCTACGAAGTAATTCTTTCTTCCTGTACTATATGCAATCCTTCTTTTCTATATTACCACCATTGACTTAACTACTGTGAATCCGGTGTTCATCTTGCTGTGCCAATGCGGTATGGCAACTTGGACCGATGTATATATGTGCCTGCTCCTACGTTGTAGCTGACTGACTTTAAATGCAAACGACTACTGTGTGGAAAAACGGTTATTTCATTTGGTAAGACCACTTTGCTAAATTCGGAAATTAAAACGTGCAAAAACAAGCGTTTGTTTCAACGAAGATGCATGATTCAAAATATCTGACGTACCTGTAGACGTATAGGTCGAATACCCAGCAGAACAAATCGCTCAAACAAACTCTGAGTTAATCCGGCGCTAGCAGCTTTTTTACACGTAATTACAGGTCCCAATTGACAATGATCACCAACTAGAACAACCTGGCGACAACCTACCATTAATGGTATTAGACACTCTGGTTCAGTAGCCTGGGTAGACTCATCAATTAAAACGGAATGAAACTTAAGCGCTCCAGACGTGCATCACCAGCAGTTACACATGTACAGCAAACCACATCAGCTGCCATAAGGAGTTCCCCTGATAAGAAAAACAGAACACTTATTAGACAACTAAATACAGAAAGTGACGCTTGGTTACATAATGCCACAGACAATACCAATGCGTTTTCTGATAGAAAATAACCACTTAATAATAATAACAATAACTATAACCCCCAAATGCCCTGGTACGGACGACAGTGGGGAGAGTCAGCTCTTCCTCTCGAAACGCTCTCACATGGCCACGTGCATACAACCACTGTCAGGAAAGTCCCATTCACTGGCCTCACGCCGCCTTACTATTGTTTACGAAATTGAGAACGAAAAGCCAATGTCTGGCGCTTTAACCAGGTTGGTGGATATGGAAGGTCCACCTAGGGAAGTTGGAAACGCTGATTTCAAACCAATGGTGCACATGAACTCCAGGATCCTGAGGGAACAAATGGCGTTTGAACCTATTAGTGGTCACCGGTTGCCATGTGACTGTATCCCTTGAAGTTGCTCCACTGTCTGGTGGGTCAGGCCTTTAAGTCGAAGGCTCGGGGTGTGGCCCCCCTAAGAAAACCATCTTCGATCTGGGCACCCGAGCAGTACCACAGCTCTCACACAAATCGAATGGTTTATGTGGCGCATATCTGTTTGGTACCTCGTTGCGCCTATATTCATGTGTTTAAGTAAATAAATAATAATCATACATTTTAATAGTTGAATTCATGAGTCGATTAAAGCTAGAGCACCATGGAAAACCTGGGAGCGCTGGAGGACGGATCGTGGATGCACACTATCAAGGAGTCCCACACTAGGACGTGACGACTTTTAGTGCTTCCAGGTTTTCCATGGTGTTCTAGCTTTAATCGACTAGTGAATTGAACTATTAAATTACTACAATCTCCACAAAATCTTTCTGATGATATATATATACACATATATAGGTCTTCAATGTGACCAAATATTTTTTAAATTTTATTAGCGCTTTTACAAAAGGAACTAATTGTGATAATCAGTATTTCTTAGCCCTACAGTTCACAAACAGTATAAAAGTTTTGTTCAAACTCGTAACTTACGTTCAAGTTCCCGTTTTAGAACTCGATAACGTTTATCATCATCCTGACTCAGTTCACCAGTCTCATCTTTCAATTGCTGTAACTTTCGGAGTTCAGTATGACCTTTCACATTTTGGGCCTGTATGTGTAGCATAAGACGGCTGACAGGAGATGCTAGAGCTTCTCTAGATCTTGCACATAGGCGCACAACTTTTAATCCGGTACGGTCAATCTTTTCGCACAACTGGTCGACTGCAGTGTTGCTAGGAGCTACAACCAATACCTTTTTTTGATGTATTTGGTTCAAATGATAAACTATTGATGCAGACGTCACAGTTTTACCCGTTCCGGGTGGACCCTGTATTAGACTAAGTGGACGTTGGAGAACTGTTTTGACGGCAAACACTTGGCTGTGATTTAGCTCCGGTAAGTCTGGTGCAGAATAGCGTTTAGGTAAGTTGCACTTTAACACCATATCATCTAATTCTTGGCCAAGCAATCGGTAGAATATATATGGTGGTAATAAACCATGTTGTTCGTCGGTAACGACAGAAATCGCTCGTCTCATTCTATCGAATGGAGTTGACTTCCATTTAAATTCGATTTTGTACGTCACAGGTTCTAGAGGTGTATCAATGACTTGCTTCATTTCCAAACCGACTTCATCACTGAAATCTAAGGAGAAAATATGAAGTATCACCTTGTAGTAAAATCATAAATACACTTGAATAAATGTCTAGATCTATGCTGTCTAGTAAAATTTATTGGAGATGAAAAGTACATAAGCGAAATCCACTTCATATTTTTGTCTTATTAGAATAGCACAATAAAATGAAACATAATTCAGTCGCATCAAAAACCTCATTTTAGGAACGGTGAAAAACGACCACGTCTGAAACCGATCAAAATCAAGATGAGACTATCAAGGTCTGCGATCTAGACCCAGTTTTTAATCACTGGGTAAAAAATTGCAATGCCGTAATATACTGGTATCCACATCACAGCCAGTCATAAGGTAGAATGTGGTACGTATGTACATCGGTTTAAATCAGTCAGCTACAACGTAGGACCAGGCACATATGTGCATCGGTCCAAAATGCCAAACCTCATTAGCACAAGATGAACAAATTCATAGTTACTTTAATGATAGTAGTATATAAAAGAAAGATTGCATATAAGGAGAATTAGTTCGTAATTCTAATTTTACGGTCTAAGGCTAGACAAGGTGTATACACCTACGCCATTGTGATCGATTTTGAGCCATATCAGTCTCCAACCAATTAGTCTGCATCTACCAACATGGTTTAGACTAGAAGTTAGTGACTTCAAGCGCTGATACCGCATTTTGATTTAGTCAACCATAATTTTCAGCCGTCTCCAACACTAGTCAGCTTTTTGCGCCGTGGTAAACGGTGTTCAGGCATACGCGACACATGGCCTAACCATCTCAGTTGAAGATTCACAACTTCATATACTGATTCACCATCATTCCGTAATACCCTGCGTCTATCCTCACTATTACTTACCCGGTGATTCCAGCAGATGCGAGCAATATGTCATCAAATACTAATAGATCACAAGTACCTACCCTAAAAGGTAATGTTTTGCAACCATAAAGTAGAATCGGTTATGTAGCCACACCTCACCTACATCTACAAATAAACGGCACTGAAACCAGTCAAATAAAAATGAATCTTTACTTCTAAGTATATTTTGGTAAACCCCACGAGAATCGTCAGGCAACTTTGTGAGTCATTGTGATCACTATCTCCCACAAGTTATTAATAGGTACTAAGATAGTAACAACCTACGAAAAAGCTTACAGCCAATTATCGTTTTCGATCTGCCATGGGAAGTGTACAGTCCTACAAAAGGAAGAGATGCTCATCCACAATTTGTCCAGTCCAATATTTGACACAAGGATTTTCTTTTGATAACAGCAGAACGTAGTGATGATATGAAATGGATACCTCAACATTATTTTGGAGATGGCAATTAGTGCCAAACACGTGTGCGAGTGAACTTAAATTTGATGTTTGGTAGTATGATTTTTTGACGGTATTTTAAATAAAAACTAATTGCATTAGCTCAGAACGAGACATTTTCAGAAGATATTTAAATCTATTCAAGCCACTCTATCATCTAAATTCACGCAGATACCAACAAAATGATAGAATTTAGTTAGCTATTTATAAGTAACATAGAACTTGGTAAATACGTACACCAGTATAAGTATACCCCATTAGCACAGAGATGAAATTGTTAGGGTAAATTCGGTAGAGGCTGTCACAGTATTAGTGGGAACAGAAATGGCCATCGAAGATACAATTCGATAAAATATGGATTAGTAAAACAAGAAAATTTGGAAGGTATTTAGAAACGTAGGACCTAAGGAAAAACAGTGGATGCATTTGCGCTACTGAGAACTATACAGGAGGAAGTTCAGGTTCCCCCGTGTCATCCTTGCCCAAAAGCCATACTAGCTTTCTCTGTAATATTCCAATTTCACTGTCATCGAATGATTAAAACACCTGATGACTAATTTACACACAACATAAATTATTGCCATCCTCACTAACTTGTTACTTGAAGCATATCTTTAGGGGAAATACGAATAAAATCTGAAGTACGATTAGGGACATAAAATGACTATGCAAATGGTGATATACACCTGTATAAAGTTCGTATATATATATATATATATATATATATATATATATGTCATATGATGCACAAACTTACTGTCAGGCACTTTGATAACATGACCGTCACCAACCAAATAATCGTTTGGACTGTTAAATTGACGAATGATCAACTCATCCCCATGCATAATACGTAGTTCTGGGCCTAGAAAGTAATACAATGTATTAGTCAAGATACATCGAAATCATATGCAAATATCACTCAGCACATAAAGTAAATAGGTTCAAGGAATGCATACACGGATGATCTCTATTGGCAAAAGTTAGTGTGGAAGATTTACAGATTATAGTAAGCATTCACTTTATTCTATAAAACTAGCTTCACGAAATGCTCTGAAATCATAAGGACAACGTTATAACATAAGAGCGATTCACTGTACGGACCCGAAGACTTTGTTGCCATGTATTTTCAGTATGATACTGAAAAATCTGTAGTTTTATTTGTAAGCTATTTTAAAAACAATTATATACATGACTAAGAACTTAAAAACCCAGGTGTAATGTATGAGAAGACTTGAAATACTAATGATTTATGTACCTTCGTTAGCACCGGGAATCCGGAAGTAAGCCACTCGGCGTTTGTTAAGGGCAGTCTCCCAACGAACGGAAACATTTTCCAACTTCAGCGATTCTTTGATCTTTTTGTCGTAGTCAGCCTCTAATTCCACTAAAGGTATGAATACATCTCGATACTGCTGTGAATTTTCATATCTTTAAGAGATGAGGAGCTCGGGGGTAAAGCTTACCTTAACAACACTGGGTTGACTTCGTTATCTGCACCGGGTTTCTCTAGATCCTCGACTGCCGCCTGAGGATTTTCTTTCCATATTTCTTCCAGTCGGTTTATTTGTTGAGCCGATATTTGACGAGCTTTAGCTTGCTGTTCATCACTTGGAACTTTCACAAGCCAAGCAAGAAACTGACGTCCTTGAATTATCGGTTGCCACTGAGCAGGATCCCAGTACATGTCTTTGTTGGCATTAGCACAGATGTTACGGCACAGAAGCACGACGACAGACTCTGACTTCGCCGGCACAAAACCAAGCAGAAAAACATTTTTGACCCACATACATAGCATTCCAAGAGAGTATCTTTTAAAGGTCCGTCTTTGTGCAAGGTAACTTCTTTCGCACGAGCTCTAACAAGATGATTGATGATATGACTGAACAGAATAATATACGTAATTGACTAACCTCCCTGAGGTGTTGCCTCGACCATTGCAAAACCACTTCTTCGTGGTGTTACAAAATACTACACAAGCAGGGTCATGAATACCGCAGTAAGCACATGCGTGCTCTGGCAAGTCGACACTAGAGTCATCTATGTCCTCATCTTTGAAGTCTAAGTCAGCAACACGTTGGGACAGCACGTCAATGGTATTGGACCCATCATGCTGATAACATATAAGACTAAGTAGAGTACCAACATACCTGCTGAGAGAAGCAATTTTTATCAGGGTCAAGTTGAGATGCCTGTGTTTGAGACTGTGAAGGCAGAGTGAAATCAGAACAGTCATAATCAGGTCCCTGTGTATCTCCTCCAATTAAATCATTCTCTTCAGGGTCGAAGAACGTTAAGGCTTGCGAATTCGGACCATAAGCATCGAAAGAACCCATGTGGCCGATCCGTGTTAAGATTACGCGACTAAATTCACATGTATGAATTTAAACAATGACATGCAAGGATGAACTGCGAAGTAAAACTAATCACCTAACCGATTTTTCGCTTTAAGTTTCAAGGCTATGGTATCAATAAAATGGGTTATTTTCTAGTGATTTTTTCTTAGATATCTTGAAATAAAATCGTCGTTCAATGATCACTGACATTTGGTAGTAGACAAAGATGGTAAAATGGTCTTTATTGACGTTTGAAAAATAAAAATGTGAAGAACAATCCCTTCTTTAAATTCATAATCAATGTGAAATGATGAATAAACATTGGCCGGATATTTATTACTCTGGGTGTTCATGTAGTAGTAAATAAATTCCCAAAATAAATAACTCTGTAAGTCTTCGACTCACCTAACTAAAGGCTCTCAATCGAACTCCGAATACTTGCGGCATATTCATTGGTGAGCTCGATGTGAAAAAGAAAAACCTCAAACGACATAAAACGACGTTACGGAACTCTGTCACTCTCACAGGTTACGTTCGTATTCGCAAACAATCACAAATCCCTCGAATGAGTCCTTCACATAAACGGTGTCTCTAGACCACGAGAGACAGATAACTCTGACTGCTGCTTGTATCATAATCAGTACGGAAAATACAGAAATCGAGGAAAATCCTGAAGTCTTCAGAACTCCAAACCGATTGACATGAAAAATGTTTCGGGAATCTTCCCAGCCAACACGCGTTATCGGCAACCTTAACCGGCGAACATATTTATCTGTTATACGTCACTGATGTGATTACAAGGGTTCGCAGAAGTTGGTGTTTTTCCGGTAGATTCTAACGGCCGGTTTCACGAATCTGTTTTAAACTTACAGGCGGCAAACGGAAAACCGATCGCCACACATGGTAAGCGATGAGTCTACTTTAATGTGGGTTTACTCAAACCCATCCACTGAATTTTTGTTATTGCAGATGCTTATATGTCAATCATTAATAAAGACCTGCTACAACACCACAATCTACTCATCGATACACGCAAACGGAGGCTAACAGATAGAAAAACCAACTTATCTGTGTGCGTAACTTCTTTCTCCGGTTGCAGATTATCTCCTGTCACACTTATGCACACGATAGGCCTATTCTATCAACCATTACTCGATAACTATTCTGGTATATACCAAACACAACCTAAATCGTCATGTGTAACCAGCAGTGTTACAGATTACATCACGACTACAGGACGTCCTGTATTATTGAAAGCGCGCCGACTAGCTCCCGAAAGCTGAGGTTGGCTAAAAACGGGCTTAATCATATAATAGATCGAGGAATCACTCGGGCATCAAGCAGCCCATGAGCACCACTCTTGCACATGGTCCCTAAGAAGGACAACAACTACTAGCGTCCAACTGGAGACTACCGGCGATTGAACGCGAAAACCATTCCGATCGTTACCCGTTGCCCCACATTCGCGACTTGACAGCTACCTTGAAAGGTACAACTGTCTTTTCGAAAATCGACTTGGTTAAAGCTTATAACCAAATCCCCATGACCACTGACGATATTCCAAAAACTGCTATTATAACACCCTTCGGTCTTTACGAATTTTCGCTCATGCCTTTCGGCCTAAGAAATGCTGCCCAAACATTCCAAAGGTTCATCGATAACGTTTTTCGAGGTCTCAACTTCATACATACGTATGTTGATGACTGCTTGATTGCAAGTCTGGACAGAGAATCCCATCTCCAGCATCCGGACTTAGCCTTTGAACGACTACAAAATCACGGGATTACTGTAAACATTCAGAAATGTCAAGTCGGAACTGACTCCCTAGATTTGCTTGGACACATTATTGATGTTTAAGGAAACCAACCTCTGAAATCAGAGTGACGGCCATTTTGGATTACCCAGAACCGACCACCATTAAGCAGTTACGTACATTTAACAGCCTTGTAAGTTTCTATAGGCGGTTGATGCCGAACTGCGCGTCCCTTATGAAACCTCTAGCCGACGAACTTCGTGGAAATGCGAAATCCACCAATTGAAAGATACCGCACAAAAAGCATTGTTCACAATTAAGGAACACGAAGTTTACTTTATTAATGATTTTGTTAATCTCTTCTTTCACCTTAAAACTACTCTTTACTTTAACAGGAAATACATCAGTTGCATCATTAAATACATCCATGGTTTGTGAGTGCGATTCCTTACATTAGCCGTTGAGTGGAATACTAGACCTAAATAATTGAATTGAAGAATTGATTTTATTTCTGTGACTAAAAATAACATGTTTGTAAACTCGTAACACAGAACATTACAATGGGCTTCAGGTATGCATCTTTGATACGATAAGTTACAATGTATTTACACAATACATACAGATAGTCTTCAATCGCTTATTTGCATCTCCGGTGTGTTCCGCAATATGAACTGCCTTCTCCACTGGCCTTCAAGTATTCTGCCAACGCCGTGCTTTTGGTGAACTGAAACTCTTCACTCTGTCCGACAGTCGTTGCAACTTTAACACTACGTTCTGTTACACGATACTTCTAAACATAATTGTGAGGAGCGTCCATGTGGTGTTTGAATGAACTAATGATACCTTTGTACTTGTTGAATGCTTGATTTCGAATTCTAAATACAATGCATTCGTTCGTGCTTGTCTAGTACTTCTTGACTCGATTGCGTTAATTCTGGGATTCTTAGTTCATACTACAATTCAAATAATTCAAAACATCAAAGTCCACTACGGTAACCGTGTCGTCTGTTGCAACTGTGACATGAGAAAACGGACGTCTGATTGTTAGTAGAAACTAGATTTGAGAGTTAACTTGGATTCAAGACTAAGTTATAATTCAACAGTTTCAATAAATCAGTCGCGTATTTCATTCGCACCCTAAGTGTTTAAACTATTATTCACCAAATAACTTATTTTAGTGATTTGTGGTATGTCTGTTTAACGGAAGCTTCAAACTTGGTTTGTTTGTAATTCTGACATTGATCTTTAATGTTCTGAAGATAACTTCATGGTATTGGACTTTAGGAATCCTTAATATTGACAGCTTGTATCCTATAATTGTTGTAAAGAACGATATTTTTGAAGTTAACACATTAGCAATTAGATTTATATTTGCTTGTGAAATTTACTGAATCTTGACATTGTTTGGTTTGCGGTTGTAAATCTGCCAAGTATTCATGTCTCAATCATTCCCATAGTCTAAAATTTCGGATATAAAAATATTGCCTTCCAAAACTCACGTTTCCACGTTTGCAGAAACCACTAGAAACTTCACTTGTGACAAATCTGCAATACAGTCCCTCATTTTTGCACACAGATATTTATGGGTGACGCGGACGATACACTGACAGTCAACATTTAGAACACTGTCAGTAGAATCATGAACCGATTCCTGGGACGAAAACGAATGAAAGAGTGTGCAGGATAATATGTCACTGTCATTAGTTACAAACCACAACTGCTCATACAGAATAAAAATTGCATTTAGTAAGTGGTTTTCAGATCTATCTATACAATAACGACAGTAATAAACAGCATTCTAATAGATATATATTCGCACGGTTTCTAATCCAACCGCGATATAAGTCAGTGGGACGCAGCACGAATGGATCTAACCAAAAAGACACACAAACGTTAAGAAACCGAATTCGGTACTAACAAAACAAACCAATAGTTTACTTGAGTGTTTTTTGGATTTGCCTCTCTGAACGTTTCGACGAGGTCCAAGAAATTGTTGTTGCAATCATCACTCAATACATATCAAGTAGATTTATTGCAACAATTTATCGAACTGCTTATTTCTCTCCAGTTATCTGAAGTCAACTGCAGTAGATATTTTTTGATTGAGATCAAGGACCGATTTATGCTAAACCACCATTGAAAACCTGGAAGCACTGGACGGCCGTTTCGTCCTATTGTGGGACTCACCGGCAGTGCGCATTCATAATCCCACTCGCGGGATTCGAACCCAGGGTCTTCAGTCTGGCGCACAAACGCTTAACTTCTAGACCAGTGAGTCAGCATCCGACTGTGTTAATGTCTAACCCCAACCAATCCACGAAGTTGCGCGGCCATCTTCCATTGTACTGAGATAGACACTTGTCTCTACTCGACACGGATTAGCTCCACTGGTCACGGCTCCCCACTAGGACTCTGAGAATTCCCTCACGAAGCTAGTCAATAGTAGGCACATGGTAATTATCAGTATATGGTTGTGGAGATTAATAAGTATTTGGTTGAGATCATGAACCGATTAATGTTCGAATCACCCGAGTGGCATCGTAGATGCGTGGCGCTGAGGAGTCCCAAAATAGGACGAAACGGCCGTCTAGTGCTTCCAGGTTTTCAATAGTGATCTAACATCAATCGATTCATGATCTCAATAAAAAAATTAATAAACTTTACAACCCTATAATGATACAGTAGAAATCTCACAAACGATTATTTATCTTATTTATACACATAATCATTTTTACAAGGAGGCACGAAATAGATATGCACCACATAAATCATTCGAATAGCATGAAACCTAATTCCACGGGTTTTGTTGAATTATATTATTTTGTTTATTCGAACGCATAAACGTCGGTACAAGGAAACACCAAATACATATGCGCCACACAATTTGCTTGATTTATGTGTACGCTGTGATACTACCCAGGTGCCCAAACTGAAGCAGATGGTTTTCTTAAGGGGCAACACCTGGAACCTTTGACCTGAAGGTTTAATCCACAAGGCAGTGGAGCAACGTAAGGAGATGCAGTCCCATAGTCATAGCTGTAATTTTAAATGAGACCATGAACCAACCAATGTCAAACCACCATTGGAAACCTGGGAGAATTGGACGGCTGTTTTGTCCTAGTATGGAAATCAGTCAGTCAGTCAGTCAGTAACAACGTAGAACTTCGTACGTACGTACATCAGTTCGAGTTGCCACACCACATTAGCACAGAGATGCAGTTGTCGATTCAAATCCCGTAGTGGTAGA